ATATACTCATTTCGGATATCACCTTTTGAGGTCTTTTAAGGTCTTTGACATACAGCTGTGTCGTTACATTCAAATTTTTTAGGTTATTTATTTAAAGTTGTGACTACTTCGTCTTCTTCCTCTTAATCCATGATTTCTTTCGCCTTGTTCAGATGGCCAGATCTCCTTAGGTTAAAGCCAAAACTCTTTTTGCCATCTTTTTGTATTACACACACACACACACACACACACACACACACACACACACACATACACACACTTCGGGACAACTAACCAAAACTGTAAACCCCCAGGTATACCTGTAGCACATGTTTAGCTGACATGATCATACATAAGCCATAATAATGGAATTTCCACACCATTTCCTCTTTTCAACTCAGACTGAAACAGCTGATAAGGGCAAGCCCCTAACCTCGTTCTACAGTAAACAGCAGCAAGATGCAGTAAGTAGAACAACATCAGTGAAGTTTGACCTCAGAGTCCCGGTTTGCATGTCGAAGCAAAGTTTCAGTCTAGTCAGAAGGCCTTAAGAGAAACCTCATCACGCACGCAGAAGCATTAAGTATGCAGGCGCAATATGCAGGTGATTTAAAAATATGCAAACCCAACCTGCAAATTATATATTCATCTGTGTCTTTTCGCTTGTGTCCAAAATGAGCTGTTACCCACTCTGGGTAATTTTAGTGTCTTGAGCGTTGAGTGAAGAACAACACAGCTGTCAATTACACAATAGGGCCTTCTTAATTCGTAGCTTTGCTGCTACACAATGGTACCAAACCACAGTTTGAAGAATGGAAATCAATCACACAGCACAGCAATATCCCCACTAATACATGGCTGTCATTTTCACAGTGTTTGCTTTGTTGCACGTGTTGAAAAGCTCTACTTCGGAACTGTAAAATGTAGCTTTATTGTATCGATGGGAGGCCAAATCGCCGCATTAGTATGGACGCTTCAGACAACTCGTGCTTGGCGCATGGTTGGGTTCAGTTAAAATGCAAAACAGGGCACGTATCTAATTTTATTTTGCGAATTCAAAGTGAATTTTGTGCTAAAGACGCAAAAAAGGAACTTAATTTAAGGAAGTGAAAATAGGAAGTTGGGGGTGCTGAGGCTCTGAAAACTAAAAGGATTTTTGGTTAGGTTATTCATCTGAGAAGAACAGACGCTTCTTTCAACCACAACAGCAACTCTGCGGGGCTCGCACTACCTGCTGAGTCATAATAAATCACACAGATACGGGAGAGAAAATAAATAACAAAAGAGATTAAAATCAACTCTTCACTGAAACTGATCCCTTTTAATCACTGGACTGAAAGGACAAGTTGAAAAAAAGACAAGTGCAACTAAAGACTAAAAATTAGGTTTAAAAATGGCTTCACTAATTGGAATGGTGCCTCAAGTGAGAAGAAGCCTACACCCCTCAACTTGATCACTCTCATTCAGCTTACAGCTAGGTGACATTACAGCTCAAGAATGTAAATATCGTGTTAAAAGACATCATGTGAGCTGACTGGACTGGCATTTTTCTTTCAGCATTCAGGGGCTTTCCCTTCAGTAGAGGCAGGTGCTCTGGAAACCCCTGACAATATTACCGCAAGAGAGAGAAAAATGATGGAGATCTCAGAATTTAAAAAAAAAAAAAAAAAAAAAAAAAAAAAAAAAGCACTGTGGCCATGCTGTCATCGTCCACAGATTGTATCAGAGCCCTGGCTTTCGAGGAACTCTTCATCCACAGTTTCACATGCACATATATTCACAAAAAGCTCAATTTCATCCACAAGCCATCCTCATGCAGGTAAACTCATGACAAAAAAAGGACCTCAGTCTCTAAGCAAAGCAGTATCAAGGTGTGTAAGTACATGCTGTCCTCTTATTAGATCTTTAAGCTATTTATGTAATAGTCTGTAAAGAGCTGGATGTGCTACAAGAGGAGGAAGAGGATGGTTATATGTTCAGCGAGGGTCTCTGGTAGATGATGAGAATTTCAGAGGTGGGATCTGACCGGTAACCTTTTGTGTCGTTACCTGAGTACCTGGTCTCCTCTAGTGAAAGCCACGAGACAGTAGGACAGCCTCGTCACATGCAATTAGATTACACTGGCATCAGTGTTACAACAACACCAAGCCTAATTTCACTGTAGGCAAAGCGTTTCCTTATGTAAAATGTGTACACTGCGTAGCGTCAGCATCAATTCACACGAATACACCCGGAGTGTGAAATGCAGCAAGGACTCTATCTACAGCCTTTGAATTTAAATGCATGTCAGCGCTTTAAACGAGGCATAACCAGCCAGTAATCCCCTTCGCTCCTCATCGAGCATTACAAACAAACAGGCTGGGAGAAGATGAGCTAGGCCTGGCGTTAGGTTCGCTCTGTATTTACCCTGAAAACATACATTAACCGAATTCATAGATGACATGCACAAAAAAAGCATTACAGTCTCATTATCAACGCCGACTCTTTGTTATGATACCCGTTCATTCCTCTCTTCTTCTTTTTTCTTTTTTTTTTTTTTGCCCCAGCATCAGCCCGACATTTACCCAGATGGCTAATGTGCTTACCGGACAGTTCGTCGGGTTCCAGCCCGCTTTCGGTGTCGAGTCCGCAGATCACAAAATAATCTGCGAACCGGCAGGAACCGGAGCTGAAGCCGGTGGTCATTTTGAGACTGGTCCGGTGGTACCCTTATCCCTAAAACAGGGAGCATATTAAAGGAACTCGGAGAAGTGATTTCTCCGTGCCATTACCGACGATACGCTGCTGCGAAGCTTGAAAATCACTACCGACACTGAGCTAACCTGATCAGCTCGCAGCAAGGGACATCCTTTCGAGCGCCTTCACAATAAACCTTTATACAGGGGGAAATCGGCCTTCAGAATAAAAGTCAAGAATAAATAAATACATATATATAAATTTAAAATTTTATATGAGAAAAAATATAACAGCATATTTTATATATGCTAATCATATTGATTATGAGGAAGTCTATAGTACGAAACAACTATAACTCTAGTAGTATTTTTTTAAGAATAATAAGATTTCCAGTTAGCCACACTTAAGTTATTTACAGTGATCAAAATTGATACTAAATCATCACCTTGGCGCATGGATAAAATTCATACCTAGACATATAATCATGAACGAGCGATGGTTTAAGTCTAAAAATTCTGTCATAATTTAATATTAATAATATTTCAATTGACACAATTGAAATTCAGTTACGGTATTCATTTAGAGGAATTTATTCATTTAATAATTTATTTATGAACCCAGAGACGCTCAAAGGTAGTGCCCTTGGGCAAGGAAAGATATCTGGCATTGCCTCCCAGAAAAACTGAAAGAATTAAAGTTATGTATCCATCATCTAAACCAGCTGCATAAATGTGCTACGCCAAGGTTGTGGTTTCTGAGCTTTCATCTACCAGAGATTTTAGGTGTACTGCTCAAGAGCCAAAGTGTACTCGTGCATCGTAAAAAGCAATGGATTAGTTGTACTTTTTCATGGAAGCATCAAAGTGTGGTCTTCTAATATTCTATGATTTTAATTTGTTGAGTACATTAGTGAAAGAAGTCCGTGTGAGTATTGTGTGAATATGTCAGGGTGCGAAAATATTTGTAGAGTAACATTACAATGAACTGTACTGCAACAGTGGATGCTAATACAAGTAACTAAACAAAATGTAAGTTGATTTAATAAAGAACACCACTGCGTTGTCATTCCTCTAAGTGTTATGACACTTATGTCATGTTTTGTTAATTGCTATATCAAAGCTAAACGTTTCCATCTGTTATATTTTAAAAACATTACCGCTGCTACACATGCAAAACTAGATTACACTTAATGGGTTATTTTAACCAAACAGGCCGTGCTGCTTTACAGTTGTGTTACAATGTCACCACCTGGTGGCACTAAATAACTAACGACTGCTTTCTTTGTTGTATATTTCAGTATTATTAAATATGTGCACTGTACAGACTATGTTCAGAACTCACATTGTGTAAAGAGTTTAATGACTCAATAAATACATATTTAAAAAAACAGAACAGAAACGTGAAATCTGTAAACACTTCATACTGCAATACATCACTGCACAGTACAGAATAATACTGCTTTTGTTGCAGAGGGATACAGAAGAAGTATCACACATTATCACTGACTGGGTAAGACGATGGGGGGGG